TTTAAATTTTTAGTAACTACATGATTAGAAGAAGCATTTCACTACAGCTTTAACATATTCAGTAACACACTCCAGAGCAAGAGTACACCTCTTCACAAGTGGGTGCAAGTTTCTAGGTTCACAGTTGAGCTAATACAGTTATACCACTATTGAACTCAGTATAAGCCATGTAAGACATAAAATTGAATGAGTTTTTAAACTTTAAAAAAGATCTCATTTCATTTTAAAATATACTGTTTCCTACAGAAAGACTCATTGTTTTTGCTACTAACACTGAGATGTTGGTGCATACATCTCTAATCTGTATGTATCTGATTATTACTAGTTATAATCTGTTGCATTCGGGTCCTTGGCACCTGTGTATGTCTATAAAGTCATCGGGTAGATTTCAATGGTAATGTTTATCACCTCTACTAATTAACATGACATAAATTTCCATGCTTCCTTCTCAAATATAATACATTAAAAAATTTCTTGATTTTTTTTGGTATATATCACTCAGAACATCCCAAACCATCTTATTCAACTATACACCCACTTCCCAAATGTCATGCTCCAATAGCCTCCCTCCCACCACTAGAGCCCTTATACTCTGATATCCCTGCTACTGTCTGCTGTGTTATCAGGATCCCCAGCCAATCCCCACTACTTGCCTTTCTGGTGAATCTAGTCAGCCTATCTAAAGGTCTTTGTCATAGGAGGGTCAGCTGTTCCTCATCTAGCGGTATTCAGTTGTCAATATTCCTTTGGATAAGATTGGCATCTTCTGTTCATTTTCCCAGTTCTCTGCTGGGTTACTATCTGGGAATCCTCTTGGCCACCCTGGCCAACAACTCAGAAGGAGATATCACCTGTCTGGAATTGTTGCTTGCTATGTAGCCTTTAGCTATACATATGGTCTCTTATGAAATTATATTGTTCCCTTTAATCTTTGGTTATACTTTCCTTTTGGGTGTTTAAGGCCATATAGTTAGACCAAATAAACCAATTTATTTTTACTCTTA